GTGAATGTGTGGCTAAAAATAAGTATGAGAATTAAATAATTTTGTTTTAAAGGGAGAAAAACAAATGCTTATTTGCAAATGTATGGTTGAAAATAAATATGAGAATTAAAGAGTATTGTCTTAAAATGAAACAAATATGAACTATATATTTTATGGAATTCATAATTTTTATTAATTTTTATGGTACATTTAATCATTTTTTTAATTAAAATATACTATTGATAAGATTTTTAACTAGATCAAAGAGGGCCATATATAAATGTAAATCGATCATGCTTTAGTACCGGATATCTTGACATAATTCTTAATATAATGTCACAGACATGTTATTATCGAACAAGTTAAAATATAATCAATTTTTTTTATCCAATTCTTCACTGTCACATACTTATCTGTCAACCTTTCCGTCATTTTATAAGGTAGATTAATCCTAAATTGACCTTCTCTGTCAATATTAGGTATGGTCTTATCGCCCATTTTCCAATAAATTTAGCCGCGCGTTTTTCAAATGGAATTTTGTGCAAGTTCGTTTCTAAACGTACATGAACACTGTGTGAAATGAAAGAATAATGGTTCAATTCAACTGTACAGATTGTTGGCGTTCAACAATTGCTACCTCATTTATTGACGCGTAAAGCTGGCTTAATTTTCAACATGTCACGTGATTAATGATGGTTTGCCAGTTAGGTTCATATAGAAACCTTCTTGGACTACTTTAAGAGTGTGTTTGGTAGGAATTTTTGGGGAAAGAATTGATTTTTGAATAGTGATATGATGGGAAATGTGGGATTGAAAAAGAAGAATTGATGTGATGGAAAATATTATTTTATTGAAGAATGTGTGGTTGAAAATGAGAATTGATTTATTGTAGAAAAATTTAATTGTGAATGATGGGAAAATTCTGAGGGGTCAGCTGATTTTGGATGTTTTAGAGAATAAAAATGTAGGTTGTTCTAATGAAGCCCTCATTCTAACTGCAAATTGTTGATGACTATAATTGACATGATAATTATAGATTAACTTAAGAGATTTAGCCCCCGTTTGATCTATATTATTATCTCATTAAAATGAAAAGTATGACCGTTATCCATCATATCAACTTAACCTTGATGTGACTCGAGATGGGGTCCGCTATATTGAGCCCCCGTTTGATCTACATTATTATCTCATTAAAATGAAAAATATGACCGTTATCCATCACATCAACATTTAAATTCAAATTTTCTATCTCTTATGTGGGCCTCAATAACGACTATATTTTTCATTCTCATTCTATAATAATTTGTCTCAAACAGGACCTTAGTAGAATAATAGTACGTAATTGTTGAAATATTGTAAAGAAAAAAAAATGTAATTTTCATCAAGATACTGTAGTAGTACATAGAATGTTTAGCTTAGCCCTTCTAGTAGGGCATTTGCTTCATTATATAGACTTCACGACATGCTCTTGTCGTCCTCTACCTTGTCGAGGTACAATGCTTGTCCTTGAGTTGCATGTCACCTCCCTGCTTGAATAAGTTCCGACTGTTGAGGGGTATGATTAGGTCAGATTAGACCATCATGACGCCTAAGAAGTAACTTCGATCTATGTCATCATTGTCGATTGACGATCATTGCTTTCTCCTTATTGGTGAACTTGATTGTGCTACATTAGGCGACAACACCTTCCCGTCTCTAATTGGTTGTAATGGGCGGTTGATGTCATTGAGAGGCATTCCTTCAGCTTACTTACGATGTTTTAGATGAAGGAGATTTTGATCGTTGTGACGAGTTAAGCTGTGGTTCGATCTCACCACAAATGGTAAGTTACTAGTAATTAAGCTTCTTTAATTACCCTGGAGTGGGTCCATACTTTGTTTTTGGTGACGCCTTTAGATCAAACACCGTCAAATACAATCCGTGAACTATCATATATGGAAATGTTAATTGACAGTCAAATCACTTTTTATTCATACATTTCATTAAATTTACTAATTTTATCCTTATATATACTAGTCCAAGTTAAACGTGCATTGCACGTTATTTTGAAAATATTTTATAAGCGTTATAAAAATAATATTTTGTACCAATCTATAGGGAGGATTTGATGAGTCCCGAACGAATTAAAGAAAATAAAATTTATGATAAAAATTTAAAAGAAAAAAATTTGTACTCTTAAAACTCAACTTCTATGATTCAAATTTTTTGTGATAATGAAATAATGCAAATGAGCAACTTTTTATACTACATTTGGTATATAAGAATTAATTGCTAACATATGAATTTAAATACTCATTAAAATATCTAGATACATGAATATAAATAAACTCATCTATAATAACTCTAAATTCATGGAGATCAAGATTCATCAAATCAAGATTTATCAAGTCGAGATTAATTTGAGTGTTAATTAATTGAAAATTAATAACACAAAATTCATACATGATATGGATTTTATAATGTTTATTACATATTGAAAAACTAAAAGGTATTATTGAAATAATTGAATTGTAATAAAATTAAAATTATCTAAAAAATGATTCTCACTTGATATAATATTTAATATATTATAGATATATACAAATGATTTGTTTGATAGTTCCGTCAATTTGTCTCACACATTTTCATTAAATTAAATCATGAATTGTATATTTTATCAAAGTAACTAAAAAGTTTCATGTATTATTCACATATATTTTCGGAATAATTGAAACTACAGTCTCAAAATTTTCAATTATTTGCAACTTTTACTCTAACTTTTCATTTGTCACACTCACAAAATTGAAACGTGAAGCTACCGTCTCAAAATTTTTCATTTGTCACTCTCACAAAATTGTCACACTCACCTTCACACTCACATAGATTTTCGGAATAATTGAAACTACCGTCTCAAAATTTTCAATTATTTGCAACTTTTACTCTTAACTTTTCATTTGTCACACTCCCCAAACGTATCATTTCCTTGTGACATAATGACAAATGCATGAAAATCATCCATATCTCATATTTTTAACAATTCCAAAAAGGGTAAAAAAGTAATTATATATATTTTAACACAAAAATATTCAAAATAAAAGAAAAATAAAAGAAATTCATCTTCTTTCCCCACCCACCCCTCTAGTCCTAAACCAGTGTTCTAAAAAGCGGCGTCTAATCGTGAAGCGAGTGAAAAACGTCCCGTCTAGCTATTTTTCGTGTTTAGGTGCGCCTTATTTATTTATTTTTTTACGCTTTCTTTTATGTTTTTTTCTTTAATTATTATATAATTTTTAGATTGATTTAAAAATATAAAATAATATTAAAATAAGAAAAGCTTTTTTACGCCTGGTCCGTAACTCGATCTCCATGTTTTGTCACGTTTTACGCTTTTTATAACACCGTCCTAAACTAAACTAAACCAAATCAAAACCAGTAAACAATCAGAACCAAATGAAAGACAAAAGGTTAAAAAAATTCCAGAAGTTTCAACATACATTGAATAAAAATCAAAAAATCTTTAAAAGTTAATGAAATATGTAATTGAAAAATTATTAGTATCATAATATATGTGATTAAAATTATTTTTTTATTTTAATTTTAATTAAAATATAAATTTTAATTTCTACCAAACAGAGGTCTTAAAAAACTAATTTCACAACCTCATAATGATTTTATAATAAACCATGCCCTTGTTTCAAAGTGAAACCAAACCCGAACCAAACCGTATGCACGAATTCTCATATTTCTGTGGATAAATTATGCATAAATTATATTTTTTTAATTAAAAATAAGTGCATGCAAATACTGATAGAATAAAACTTATTGAAACCATTATGCCAACCATTTAATCCCCAGTTTGGGATCCATTATAATGAGTTTTTGGGGATAACGTATTTTGGAATAACGATTTTTTTTTAAGAATATGTGAGTGAAAAAGAAGAATTTTTTTTGGTTTAAATATAATATTATTTTATTAAAAAATATATGATTAAAATGAAAAGATAGAAAAATGTATTATTATAATGGAAACCAAACAGGAGCTTAACCGTATGCTGGGGTTCTCATATTTAAACCAGCAGCAATACGTTAACGGGCCAAGGGCAATTCAAAATTTTCATTTTCCCGGCACAAGCCTCCCCTCAATTGCACCCACAATTTTCTCCATGGAAGACGACTCGTTTCGACATCAATCGAAAGGTCAATTTATCATTCTCTTTTAACATATTTGCATGTTTATATGCATAAGCTAAATGTATATGTTTATCAATCAACGTTAGGGTTTCATTCCACTTCCTGTGTCGATGCAAGACATGATTTTTTTATTATTTGGAAATTCAAATAATTCACTCTGGATTTCTACTCTATTTTTGGTGGATAATTTCTTTTTCTTTGTTTTAAATTACAGGGGCGCTGCATTTCCCCATTAAAGGTATGAAATCAGTGATAGCTACAGTTAGTGGTTACCAGGGATCCGAGCGATTCAATCTCATCAAATTGATATCTAAGACAGGCGCTAGCTATGTCGGTGCTATGAATCAATCTGTTACGCATTTGGTACGCTTTAAAATCCCTATTGAATAATATTTTTATTCCTGTATCTTTGAAAGTAATTTTTATTTTGTTAATTTCAGGCTGATTATGTTAACATATATATTTTTTGATCCGCTGGGTTGGATAGGTGTGTTGGAAATTTGAAGGGAGAAAATATGAACTTGGTAAGAAGTTCAAGACGGTAATAGTTAACCATTGCTGGATTGAGGAATGTGTAAAGAAAGGAAGGCGTGTGCCAGAGCATCCCTACACCTTTCAGAGGTATGGTGAATTTTGTAACTTGGTTTCACATGGATTTTCTGCATTGTAGGATCGTGCAGATACTCATGATCTGCACAACTTTATCAAATTTGATAACCTTGCTTTAATTGAATGTTGTAATTTCCTAAGTACGAAGTTGTAGGATTAATTTACAGTTCTGATGCATTCGGTGTTTCTACCAAAATTGTTATAGGAAATCTTTACACAGGATTGGAACTTCAAGAAAAGAACTAAGAGATGTCTATTTTTGTTTTCAAACTCCGGATGTCAATTATATTATGAAAAATTAGGGCCTTAATTTGGTTGGATACAAGTATTGAAAGGGCAGAGGTGGAACTTGAATTCTTTAATATTCTTTTGTCTACAAAATATTTTGCCAAGGTCTATGAACAAAATGTTATATGCCTTTCAAAGTATTCATGAAGACACCTCTTCCCTGAATCTGGGCTCTGCAAGTGCTGTCTAATTGATTCCCATTTGTGTTCATTTTATCTGAACTGGATATTTTGGAAAACTAAAAGGAACTTAAGACAGGTAGGACTTGACCATATGGTAATATATAGAATACATCAATAAAGTTAGTCTTTCATACTATCTTGTCAATCTTGGTAGCATTTCTCCTTTTCTATTTGTTAAATTTATTATGCTTTGGGTATCTGATGGAGAAGTGTGATGGAAAAAAATTTCAGAAGTACATGGCAGTAAAACACATTAAAAGAATGTGTGACATTTGGAAATTCGCATTGCTAAAACTATACTATAGTCCATAGAGTGGCACGTATCAGTCTGGAATTAGGTCTTGGAATTGGAATTACAAAAAATCAATTGACCTTTGATTGGAGTTTCTCAAATCACACTTCGAGGACCCAAATACATTCGCCCAAACATGCATTAAGTTATCTTATGAATCTAGACTTGCAAGGAAAAAACCTTGCAAGTTTCCCTGCCTTGTTAATTCGAGCAACAATTCCACCACGATTTTTCTCCCCGTATGCCACTTTTTGTGGGCTCAGCGTGATCACTATATTTGCTGAACTTAGGTAAAACTGAATCTTTATATGCTTATGTTGAAGCAGCTCTATACATTGTAATGTAGTACATTGGGCTAATGCTTAGCAAGTTCATCTTTGAACTCAGATAATGTCTGGATGTGCAGATTTGTTCACTAGATATTGTTTACAGTTATGGATTTGTTGTCTGTGTCAGCAGGAACTGATTTTTAATCAACTCTGATATTTTTTCAATTCTATTTCTAGTTGTTCGGGGCGTTTATTTTGTCCTTGATTTCTTACAGTGGTGAAGAAATGGGGTCGCCGCTTTTGGACATCTCCCTGGGATTTAACAAGGCGGGTTCCCAATCCAAACCATGGAATAATGCTAAGGAACATGTGATCGATATTGAATGTGAAGACAGTGATGAAGTCTTTGTTATTGATACATCTTTACTAAATGAGGTAGCCATCTGATCTTTCATTTTTATAATATCTTATGGTTTTATCTAACATGATTTATGATCTTCGTTGAATATTTCTTCTTCTGTTTAATTGTATTTCATTTTCATGTCAAGATGGATTTACATTTGTTAGAACATTTCCAAGAGCCTCTTTTAACATAAAATATTCTTTATTTTAAAGAGTCAGCTCTTAAAATTATGCTGCAAGAGACTCTTTTAATTAACGTTTTAAAATAGAGAGTGAGTTTGACTCTTTAAATTTAGAGACTCAAACTTACTCTCTATAATTAAATGCATTCAAAGTATTTCAATTTTTAATGGAAGAAAATAATATAATAATCTAAAGGGAAGCTAGTGAATATAAAAGATATGGAAAAACAATAAATATTTTTTGGGAGTAGTAAAATTAAGTGTTATATATAAAAAGCCTGTTGGAGTACTCAAAAAAATTTACTCTCTAAGAGCCCGTTTGGTATCTGTTAAATTCCAATTAAAATTGAAAATATAACCGTTATTGGATCTCACTCATCTAATAAAAGTCAACAATAACGACTAGTTTTTCAATTTTAATCTCTACAGAACAAGCCCTTAGAATTTCTGTTGACGAATTTTTTAAGGCACAACATTTTTGTCTCATATGGCATTCTAGTTAACAATATTTGTGTTTGTGTTTGAATTTAACACTGACACGTATACGTATGATTTTAGGTTCACACTTCCAATCGTGTTGACATTAGTTTAATTGTTAGAAACTTTTATAACTACTGTAACAATTTTACTTCAATGAGAATTTTGAAAATTTTAACAAATTTTAGTGACTTCAGTCAAAACTAACCCGTAGGTCTTTTGTTCATCAAAATTATAAATAATCATTCTTTACTGTTAAAAGTTAATTTAGAATTTTTTTAGAAAAACTTTAAGCCCTGTTTGTTGACCTTTAATTTGAAAAAAAAAAAAAACTATGTTTTAAATAGTGTTTTTTCGAAAATGTGTAGTTAAAAAGTAGGAAACTTTTGAGTTTACGTGTAAAACATTTTATTGTGTAAATACGTGGTTGAAAATGAGTATGAGAAATACATTAAAATAAAATAAATTAAATTAAAGCTAGCTTCTTCAAAACAGTTTAAAATACCGTGTTTTGATAAAAAAAAAATTTTTTTTTGACTTTTAACCAAACAATTAGGGCCAGTTTAACATGATTTTTGAAACTTCAAAATGAGCTTTTGCGATTTAAAAGTTACTTTTGAACCCGTTTGACTGGTACTTTTGTTGGTTAGAAAAGTTTTTTAAAGAAAACTAGTCAAATGTGACTTCCTATAAAAGCACTTTCAGAATAAGAATTACTTTTAAAATTAATTTTTAAACAAAAATTATGATAGTTTCCTTCAAAAGCTCTTTTACAGGAAGTAAAAGTAGAAGCAAAAACTATATCAAATGGACCCTTATAATTTCAACAAAAAACACTTTAACCTTTCCAAAAGTGCTTTTGTGCTTTAGAAAAGTTCTCCACACACACACACTCTAAAAATGAAAAAACAGGTTAAAATTTTAACTTTTATCCTATCAAATTGTCCAAAACTTAGCAAGTTTACTCGTCTAGCCCTTGTCATCAACTTTGCTAAATTTGTGGGCATCAAATCATGTATAAAATCTCGTTTGACCTTAGACCGTTGCACAATGATGTTACAAGACATCACCAAAATATCCCCTTTTCCCATGCAATATTGAACTAGTCATCTAAAACTCATTGTCCACAAGACTTTTCCATGCAAGTCTCAATATCGTTATAGAAAATGCACTCATCCCTTTTCTTCAAAATTGTTGGATAAGCTTAAAATCACTTATGTATAAGTTACTTTTAATTTAATAATTTTTTAATTGAAAATAAGTAAATTATTTAATTTGACAAGATAATTTCTTGTAAATAACAACATGCTTTTGAGTAAATTATTTTACAAGTATAAACATAAAAGGGATTAAGTTGAACGACTGATTTGTCGATGTGCAATTATGAAAGTGTATATGAAAGAGAAATGTTGAAACTTCAAATACGTCGACAATCAACTATTGTCATGTTAGAAAATAAACCACGAGAAGTATTATCGAGATGTTATCTATTAGTGATGCATTGTTCAATTTATTATTGAGAAATGAATAATGGTTAGTTAGGATGTATTGTACAAGCAAATTAATCATATATTGACACCACTACAAAGATAGTGACTTCATGATGAAATGAATCGTTACACATTTGCAATTCCAAAAATTCTCAATCAGAAAGTCGAATGGTTAAAGCTTTGTCGATAAACCCAGCAACATAAACATAAATTTTGTAACAAATTTTGGACAAAATTAACAACGAACAATTTCCATTGCGAAAGAGCGAAACAAATCTTTTCCCTATGTCATCACTAATTTTAAAATTTCATGTCTTAACAAGTTTAAAGGGTTTTAAAAAAACATGTATCCTTGCGTTTTTCTACAGCGAACCCAACAATGGTAATTGGTTAAATTTCAGTGTCTCAAGTAGTTAAAAGTAGTGAATTGTACAAAATATATTGATAAAAATAGAGTTTGATCAACTTATAAGCAATTTTAATTGCCAAACAATCACTTAAATCAAGTTTAATCGTAACTGTTGCTCAATGAAAATGCAAAACATCACCAATTTTCGACTTGAAAGCGTTGAAATAGTCACATAAACTTTAGCTATGAGAGTGAAAACACAATCTCTCGTATAAAAGCTCATTTGACTTTAACTTCTGCACAATGATAATGACGTTACAAACGTTATGAAAAATCCCCCTTTCCGCAAACATTGAATTAGTCATCTAAAACTCATATTGTCCACAAGATTTTTCAGCAAGTCTCACCATCTTTATGGAACATGCTCTATACGAATAACCAACGAATAAATAGCAATTTTTCCAATACGCGTCAGCTCCATTATTTGACTGCTATCATATTCTCTATTGCTCCCTTATCTCCAAATTTATTGGCTAAGCTCAAAATCACTTATAAGTAAGTGGTTTTAAAATTAATACTTTTTAATTAAAAATAAGTAAGTTATTTCTTTTGACAACTTAATTTCTTGTAAATAACTTCTTAACTTAAAAATAAAACTTAGCTAAACATGCTTTCGAGTAAATTGTTTTATATGAGTGGAATTTTATCCCTTAATAATAAAGATGAAAACATAGATTAATTTATAAGAGTTTGAGCCACTCCTCTTAGTAAGGTCGATATTTTAAGATGGAATCTCAAATCTTAACATAGTATCAGAGCTCATTAAGTTTCAATGAGTAATTCGATCCGATTAAAACTCAAAAAAATTGAGCATACGAATTTCAAAATTGGTTTGCTCAAATGAGCCACTATCTTGTGGGGGGAATATTAAGAGATAAAATCTCACATTGAATAAAGATGAAAATATAAACCAATTTATAAGAGTTTGAGCTGCTCCTCTTAATAATGTTGACCTTTTAAGATAAAACCTCAAATCTTAACAACTACTATATCACATACATCAACTACTGTATCCTAATTGTGTCAATCTAATTTTGATCGGTTGAAACATACCGTACTACCAACATGGGTAGACCCTCTAAACTTAAACTGACCTATATTTTTCATTTTCATTTTTTTAATTTTTCGTAATTATTTATTTATTTTATTTCTGGTGAAAGCATTTCTGATTTGAGCACGAGAAGTAAAACGAAAAATTATCCCACCACGTTTTTAATTTAGAGGGAAATATTAGGAGAATTGCAAAAGGCCTAAATCTCACCTTACTCATTGAATAGGTTAATTATCATCTATTCATTAATATACTCTCGTTTTATACTATTTTTGGGAAAACGTAACCATTAACTTGTGCTCTTCGAATGTTAGTAGCCAGACTTGGAACCCATTTCGCACATCATGTGTTTTAAAAATAGTCGTGGATGTGTGAATAAAATAATTAGAGTTTGATAAACTTATAAACAATTATAAACTTCACCTTACGTGCACTTAAATCTATTTCAACCTTGACCGTCGTCCAATTTTCTCCTTGCCCGTCTGCAGGTGTAGAAATTGTGCATTCAATGTTGATAGGGTTTGAAAGGGTGATTGAACTAATAGTAGTGCAAACCTTAAAGGGGGTTAAGTTGGTTGACTCATACTACTCGACTGATTTTCAACTGTAAATTGTCAAGCTGTATGAAAGAGAAAGGTTAAAATGAATCACAGTAAAGGTTGATAATCAACTATATATTATCATGTTATGAAATGAATCATGACAAGATTTTATTAGGATGTTCTCTTCCAACCGCTATCCTTTTTATTTGAATTATTGAAAAATAATAATGGTTAGCTAGGACGTGTAACGTGGTACATTGACACTATACAAATAAAATGTGACGAAAATATGTCGATAAATTTTTCATATAATTAAATTATCAAGATATATTTATTTTAGTATACAGATTTTTTTTAATTTCTATTAATGTATATTTCACTCGACGAATAAATTCAAAAAATCATCATAATTTTTAAGTAAAGTCTATATTTATTGGGTTACACAAGGTAAAAAAGGGGAAGATGAATCGGGAAGTTGAGAAAGTTTTTATTTGAATGAGTAATTTTGATAATTTAATGACGACGTCCAATGCAAATTTCAGCTTTTCATAAAAGCTGAATTTATAATTTTTAAGAAAAGTCTAAACTTTTAGCTTCTTCAAAACAAATTAAATAAGTTTTTTAATTAAAAATTATTTTTCGACTTTTAACCTAACATCTATAGTTTTAATAAAAAGCAATTTTATACTTTCAAAAATGCTTTTGGGACTTCAGAACAGCGCTCAATGAGTGAAAACACAATCTCTCGTATAAAATCTCATTTGACTTAACTCTTGCATGATGATGTCACATGACATTATAAAAATTTCACCTTTTCCCAAAGACCCAAACATTGAACTAAAACTCATATGGCTTATTAGCACAAAACATCCCTGCATTCATAATCGCATCTGCATCATTAATTTAGAGCATGTTTGGCTACACTTAAAATCCAATTAAAATTGAAAATATAGCCGTTATTGGGTCTCACTCGTCTAATAAAAGTCAACAATAACGGTTAGTTTTTTAATTTTAATCCGATTTTAATTTCTACCAAACGGGCTCTGAATATATAGATGCTCTCTAAGTTGCAAAATATACACTTTAAAAATAGAGAGTTTCTTGGAGATGTTCTTAGGCTTGTTTGCAAGTGCTACCACTTCAGTGTAATGGCTATAAAAGAGGGCCACTTAATGTGGATTTTTTGCAAATATATGTAGAGATGATGATGTCTCTATGGACCATAAGAATGCTTCTATGCTTCAACAGAAAGCAAAGCCATCATTTTGAGGAGCCTAGAAAATCACTCAGCGTTTCATGCTGCCTTGATGTTCTTCAATTTCAATTTACTCTTTCTGGTGCACTTTCTTCTTCTGCAACTGATGTCTTAGTTTGCAATGGCAATCTGGTCATTTGCATGTTTGGCTAGGCTTAAATAAGTTTTAGAATAAATAATTTTTGTTGGTTAAAGTTAGAAATAAGTAAGTTATTCGATACTTTACTAAGTTACTCTTAAAATATGTAACTTCGTCCTTTTTTTTTGTAACTTAAAGAAAAATGTAACCTATGGAAGCATGTTTGAAACAATTTTTTTGTTGAAACTTGAAAGTCTGAGCCCCTGTTTGGCTCCCCATTAAATTATAATTTATTTTTCTCTATCTTCTTATCAACCACACATTTTTCAATAAAATAATATTACACGTAAGTCTAAAAAAATTTCCTTCTTTTTTAACCACACATTCTCAAAAAAATTACTATTACTCTCATTATAACGTGGAATAATGGGGCCAAACGGGCGTTGAATTACTTTTGCTTCAGTCACAACTTTGTTTATTATTTCCCTGTGCATTGATCAGTTATCTATTGGCTTCGACAGCAGATTTCATATCTGATTTATTGTAGGATTTGTCTTCTGAGTTGAGGCAAAACAATCATGGATCAAAGAGACCAAAACGGAAAATAATCAAACGAAGTGCAAGGCGGGATTACTCAGGTAGTAGCAGTCATTATCTTGACAAGCTTCTGTGGTCAGGCTCCATGACAGTGGAGGTATGAAATTTGACTTCCTTTTCTATGATTAATACTCTCACTAGTCTTGTGTATTATGTTGTTATAACCTACTTTGAATAATTATTTACCATGATGTATCAAAATTCTTATATTACATAATATCTCTTTATCTTTTTGGTTTAGTTTTCATGCTCCTTTCACCAATCTCTCTCTACCTCTTTTAACTGTGTATATTTACGGTAACTGAGTTGACTTTAAACTTGTCTGATAAAACATTAAGTTCCTGTTTGAGCTCCCTTTTTTTGATAATAGATTTTGTAAAAAGTGATTTTTCTTTAAAGATTATTGGTTAAAAAGTAAGGAAAAGTTTTGCGTTTATGTGTGAAATTATTTTATTGGGAGAATGTGTGGTTGAAAATGCGTTTGGGATAAATGGGACTCAAACATGGGGCTTATTTTCCTCTCCAGGCTCACCTTAGTTGGGCCATGCCCAAAGATACATGATTGTTTTGCAACATTATATTGTCAAACCATCCTACTTGCACCAAATTTTTACTTGTTGACGCCTTTTCACTTTTCTGCTTCCTGAATAGCCTGGGAAACCAAGCTCTTCTAAGCAAGCACCTTCATTGAAGAAGGGAAAATCCACTTCAAGTGAAACTTTTAGAGATCATAGAATGGTTAAAAAGCATCGAAGCGTGGAGGACTTAGGTTTTGCTGGGGTTTTTATGCAAGACTGCGAACCCGCACAAGTATTTTCTGAGAGTAATGGCAGTGGGGATTCCCATAATAATTCAGATGTGAAGAGAGGTGAAGGTGAATTTGGTAATGCATCTGATCAAAGTTGCTCTTGGAGTCAGCAAATTAATAATGAAGTTTTAGATGGCGTTGAAGAAATTGAGAATATGAATGCTGATGATCATCAGAACCTGTTTGTTGAGGATGCACCATCTTCCGTCTGCAGAACAGCAAATGATTGCTGTACCGATGTGCATGAGGTTCTAGATGACACTGATCTTAGCACCAGACTTCATCAATCATCTGAGTTATCATGTGTTATATGTTGGACGAATTTTAGTTCAACCAGAGGGGTGCTGCCATGTGGTCACAGATTTTGTTTCTCATGCATCCAGACCTGGGCGGATCATATGGTATGCACAATCTGCTTATTCAGTATTTCACAGTATTTCACTTCTGCAGCACTGTTGTTCTGTTCTGTTTTCTTTTACTTTTTGGTGGACTGTTATATTATACTTGTTCATTGGTTAAAAGGGTCATATATTTTCTCTGCACCTGTGGGGATTTAAGACTCTATCTGTGTGATAAAAGGTTCTCTGAAATGTTAAACAACCTTGTGCATTAACAAGCATTTTGATTTACTTTTGTGTTTGTTTGCACTAGGCAGCCCTGTAGAGTTTGAAAAACTAGTTCCAGTTTAAAATATCATCTATCTGATTATGTGTGATTGAAATTTATTGCCATACGGATTCCAAAAATATACAGTATCTTTGGACAATGTGGCTCATGCCTGTAAGTTAATTCGAATCAATTTTCACAATTTCGTGATATAAACTAAATCATTGTTTACCAGTTTCCAGGTTTGGGGCATGATCATAACTACCTAATTTATTTTCTTTGTACATTGATAAAGTTTATTGATTTTTATCTTTCATAGGCTTCAAGGGGGAAGGGTTCAACGTGTCCGTTGTGCAAGTCTAGTTTTGCAAGCATCACAAAAGTGGAAGATGCAGTTTCTTCAGATCAAAAAATATACTCACAAACCATTCCACATGACCGTGCAAAAATGGATGCATACATCCTTCTTGATGATGTACACACCCTTCCTGCTAATGTAAGTTGTTGGACATTTTCCAGTTTCATAAAGATAGGCTCTGAATCTGCTTCCTTTTTAGTGACTACAAGGGGATGGGTTATAAATTCTGCTGAACCTTAATTATCTGTTCCATCCTTTTGCCATTTCGGCTGCTTTTGAACGTTTCTCATTGACTTTTGCTGCCCCCATCAACCCGAGCTTGGCTATTTGAACTGCCTTAAGTAGTCTCTATCAATCATATAACCAATTTGGAGACAGTCCTTTTACATATTATTGTATTATTTCTAACTCAATATTTTCTTTGTTCTTCATTATTATGTAGCCATCAGTTACCCAAGTTTGTTATCAATGCTTTAGTCGGGAACCAGAGGATCTTCTCATTAGATGTCAACTCTGCCAGATTCAATGTGTTCATTCTTACTGCCTGGATCCTCCCTTGTTTCCCTGGACGTGTGTCCACTGCAAGGATCTACAAATGCTTTACCTGCAAATCCATTAGTTTCCTCTTGAACTGATTTGAATGTAACACATAATTCCTTTGATCTTTTTGATTTGTGTTTCATTTTGGTTAGAATAAATGTAGACTTTGTACTGTTCACTCTCTGTGATAGTTGAACTGCACCAATTGATTATTTTGCCTTCTACTTCACTTTTTAGGAGTTCGTTGATCCTGACTAGAGTTTCAATTTTTATCTTTCTGACTTTGTTGTCAACATGAATGAGCACAAAGAAGTCGACCAGAATCTAACTTGAAGTTCGAAATATTTGTAACTAGTTTGATTAGATGAATTGGATAATATTAAATAAAAAGAAGTTAAAATGTAGTAAATTATAATGAATCAATATTATGTACTCAATTTAATGTTCAATGTTTCTATTAGTTTTCTATTATTTTCCTCGGAAAAAATGGCAGAGTTATGTAATCATTTACATGGATCAAAATTACATGATGACAAGGTGGATTCAAATGGATTGAGTTTTTAGTGCACTTGGATAAAGATTGAAGGCAATAACTGCTGTACTACATTTTTAACGTTCTGGTTTTTTATATAAAACTATTAGAAATCAAAAACAGATAGAAAAATTACTGCAGGTAAGAAAATGGAAGCCTGCTATAGCAGCAGGGAAGAGGAATGTATTCCATTCAACTTGGGAAATTACAATGCACACTAATTTATTTATAGAGAAAAATCTAACAAACTAACTAAATTACAACTGGAAGAAGGAACTAGAAGGATCTGGAATTGGCACCATATTCAACTGAGGTGAGCTGATGGACGTGAGCTGAAGAGATGGAGAAGATCTGATGATGAGCTGGAATATTTTGTATTTGCATGTGCTGGATATTTTAACACACCCCCTCAAGATGGACTATGGAGATCAACAATAGTCCATCTTGAAAATTAAAGTCTGGAAGCTTCTGCCCAAGAAGTTGAATTTGCCATGATGCTGACATTATAGCCCATTTCTCTGAAATATTTAGCAATAGTGTTTCCTGTATAAATTGCAGGTTCCAATGACGTTTTCCCAATTAAACTCATCCCACTATAATTACCAAGTCGTTCTCCAAGCTGAGTTTTTTTTTTTTTTTTTTTTTTTCAGTAAGAGCATATTAGTCTCATTAGTTCAAATCAGAGTGGTGTAGACTGTGATTTAGTGCATCAAGCTCTTTGTTGAGTTCTCGCATATGTTGCATCCGTTCCCAAGTCAGACTTTATAACAACATCCAGGTTGTCAACTTGTTGAGCAGCATTCTTGTAATCACATATCCGGAGTAAATGGAACAATTTCAGAAGCTCACCATTCAACTTGAAAATGATACATTGCACATGGAGGATAGTAAAAAAGAGTCTGTTGAACATGACTCTGATAGTGAAGTAGTTAAGACTTGTGAAGTTTTCAAAGAGGTGCCACTCGCAGTAATTGCTGAAAGCAAGGATATAGAAGGTGGTGAAGTAGAGTATATAGCAGAGGCAAAAACTACTCCAAGTGATAAACTGGTGGAGAGAAAATTCCAGAACAAGGCTGGAGCTGAAGCCAAAGTTATCTTCAGATTTGGCATGGGTTAGTAACCATGAATCATCATCCATAAGGAGAAGAACATAGACAATGAAATTGGAATAAATTTCATGAAAAACTCTAGTACAAAGCTAGAGAGAATTGAAGAAAGGCCTCTGGTAATTGATCCAGGAGGCAGGAAAATCTGGTAAATGATTTGGATCAATCATCAATGGCGGAATAACTCATTGATGAGGAAGAATTGATCTGGTTTTGCAGATCGTCAGTGGGAACTTTTGTCGAACACCTTGAAGGAAATCCGAGAAAAACTGATTTGGTAGATTTTGATTTGGATTTGAGCTTGAGTTTTGAAATGATGTTTGATTTTGATTTATATTAGAGTTTTAATGGCTGAAAATGGAAGAGACTGAATATGTGGACAGTGCCTCTTGTGCTGGCAGTTGCGAGAAGAAGCCAAGAGCATTTTGAAGGCTGAAAATAATCTGCCAGCCTTAATCTCTGTGTAAAGAAAATAGTAGAAGGAGTTCTGCTCGGAATAGAGATCAGAACCTTGAACAATCAACCCACTCTGATACCATATTAGAAATCAAAACAGATAGAAAAATTACTGCAGGTAAGAAAATGGAAGCCTGCTATAGCAACAGGAAAGAGGAATGTATTCCATTCAATTTGGGAAATTACAATGCATACTAATTTATTTATATAGAAAAATCTAACAAATTATCTAACAAACTAACTAAATTACAGCTGGAAGAAGGAACTAGAATGATCTGAAATTGGCACCATATTCAGCTGAGGTGAGCTGATGGACGTGAGCTGAAGAGATGGAGAAGATCTGATGATGAGATGGAATATTTTGTAGTTGCATGTGCTGGATATTTTAACAAAAACTTATACATCATTTTGTTAAAATTTCAATGACATTTGAGATTATAACGTGGGTATGGTTTAATTGTAGTTGTATATATTTCGAAGAAGTGTTCTCGTGTATGCTTTTTATATGTAACTTGATATGACCACTAATGTTCGTCATGATACCGCCAACAAAAATGTCCCGTCACATGTTAATAAGCATCATTACATGGTTTAGATTCAGAACCAGCCTTGTTAAAAGTTTTTGTGTTTGAAGTTTTTTATATTTAAATTGTAATTGAAATATAAAAATAAACAAACATGAGAATATTCTAATTCTCGCGTAGCCTTGCATTGTTTCTGTTAAAATGAGGGAAGTTGGTACTTTGTGACGGAGAAAGGAAACAAATGAACATAAATTAATGTACATTATTAACAAAAAAATCAAGAAACGTATAAAAGAAAGTAGTAATCTCTCATTTAGCCAAATCATATCTTATTACAAGTGTTCCTTTCGAGTTCTCATACTTTGAGACATTAATGCCAATGTCACANTTTTTGGATTGGTAGGGTTTAAGTTTTTTATTCATTTGAGGATAAAATGATAAATACAAAAAATAAAATTTTAAAATTAAAAAAAAATTTCAAAAAATTGGGGCTGTCCCCACCCCCTCCCCCGCCCCTGCCTACCGGTACCATTGCCATCTCTAATAAAGACAGGTAGTCATCACATGTAGAATCGACAGAGAGAAGAAAATATATACTCAAATCTATAAAATCATATGCTATTAAACATTCCCTAACTTTGATCAACGAAGTTCTTGTATTAAGAGAGATCCATATCATTATTAGTAAATTCAAGAATAAAGCCCATGTTTAGTTTGGATAAAAATTAGATTTTTGGTAGATTTTGATAAAAATTGATGAAATGTGTGGTTGAAAATAAGTTTGGAAGAAAAATTAGTTTCAAGAAATGGGAGTCAAATATGGACTAAATATATGGAGATCCAACCATATCATTTGAAAGCTTAACCCGTTAAAAAAAAAAAAGAATATATCAACTTTTCATAAAATTTTGACACGCATCAGTTCGTCACAAATAAATTATAACGAGACTTGAACTCAAAACATTTGTCCTGAGCATGTCAAATCAACTCACGCAAAAGTTTAAATTATTAAAGAATAAGAATAATTATTATCTACCTATTAATTCAAAGTTGTCACCTTGAACCAATGTATTAAAGTTGTGCAGTGTGGGTTGATGATTTGATGCTCGATTGGAAGGGAATCATCGATGGTAAGAAGTCAATTTATAACTCTAATTATATTATCTGAAAGGAGTATCATAAACGTTGTTCAAACCTTTTTATTTAATGGTAGCCAAGAAGCATTGCTCAGCAGAATACATTGAGTTTCACACGAGTTTGTTAAAAAAGTGAACGAGATAATCTAAAATTATTGAACACTAGTGTAGATGCAAAAATATAGTATATGCACATGCATTATATGCAAATCTATCGATCTATACTGTGTGCAGTATTGAATCAAATACGATTTTATATTCACACGTCTATCTTCCTTAACTAATCCAATATACCAAACACTTCTATAATAATTAATTATTTGATAATATCTACTACAAATATTATGAATATGGAATCGTGATTCATGTCATAACATTATTCACATCTATAATTACCTTTTTTGCTTTGCTTATGAAGGCCTATTTCACATCACTTTGGATGTTCAACTACAACAAATTAAGTTTTGTTTACAATAAAGAATCCGTTCTCACTTTATTGAGTTTGTTGCTAGATTTGCTAGAATATTTAAACCGTTATCTACTATACATTTGCGCGAAATTATATATCCAAGTGTTTCTTTGTTTAAAATTGCAAAAAGTTTGGAGAAACCCAATTACTAGTTAGAGTGTCTACAAGGACTCTCTGTTTATAAAGAGTATCTTATGTAAATAGATATAATCTTTACATTTAGAGGGAAATTTTGTATAACCTCCAATAATGTGCTCTATTTTGGTTCTTCATTTTGTTTTTTCAACAAACATTTATTGATTTTTCCTCATCTTTTATTTAATGTATTTTTTTATACGTTAATGGCCAATTAGTTCGAATATGATTTGAAAAATTTAAGAAATAGAATATTGAGATTTTTAACTTATTAAATGCAATCATTATAAAGTAAAAATAAAGTCTTTTGGAGCATATTTTTAAACACGACTCTCTAAAATCGAAAGCATCTTGTATTTAGAGAGTTTGTAAGAGTTGTTCTTATACACCACTTGATATAATTGATAAGAAAAGAAAATTAAAATTTAATACGTGGAATTGAATTGATTTTAACAAGATTAAAGAAGATAATAACATCAAAATATTTTCCCTTACAATGTATTATATCGTACACTAAACTTGTCCTAGTATTCCATACGGACTATGGTGCATCCCATCAAATGTTGTGAATATTAGACAATGTTAGCCAATGTGAAAAGAGCTAATATTGCGAATAATCCACATGCATCTACTAGGTATATGAATCTGTCACGGTTTTATTTAAGCAAGTTGTGAATCATATTTGATACGATGAATAAATAAAATACAAAAATGAACATGT